CATTTTTGGGGGTTCATCATCTTGTGCAGACTGTCGAAATGAAATGTTTTTAATGTATTAGCATGTACATGCCTGGATATGAGTGCAATAAACGCGCAAGATGAGAATATATATGCGCACGATACGATTACTAGTGCGCAGAATCTACGCAGGTGAATATGTAACATTTTGAACTCTGTCACAGCAGCATGTAAATAATGTACACATTTCGATTGGTGGTGTAGGCATATATCTACTACTATATTTTTGGGTGTGTAGATTCAACAGTTTTGATTTTTGGGTGGATATTTGCATTGCTGTATGTGGATAAATGCAACTCACTTGATGCAGGATTTGAACCGGGGACATGGGTGCTGTGGGACAGTAGCTCTAACCCCTGAGCCACTGGGCTTCCCTCAGGGTATTATGCTCATGGTTGTTGCACATCCCCATTGAATCCTTGGAAATGTAATACGCCATGCGCGCGTGTTTGTGCTATTTATCAAGCATCTGCACATAAACACGCCATGAATCACGCTTCTGCGCCAAGCGTATATGCGCGCATGCGCGCACAGTCGGCGTGTTTTTGCATGGCGTGTTCATGGCGTGTTTATGTGCTTAGTAAATCAACCCCAATGACTGTTTATCATCAATGAGCATATGAATGACTGCTCACTGTTTTTCATGTTCTTATTTTATTACATGTCTAAATAAATATTGATGTTATTGGCAGGTGGAGACATTGTGAGAATTCATGAGTGTATAAAGTGGTGAAAGGTACACTTAAAATACCTCTGAATACTAAGTGAATGATTTACAAAAGTGTGAATTGAATAAAGTAAACCTGTGCTTACTTTAAACATTCAAACACATGAAGGTGTAGATATATATTGTTTAAATTCCTCTGCACATGATTGGATATTTAAGGTGAAAAGATGGTTACATTTCTTCACCCCTTACTATGAGTTCTGGATTTATACTTCTAGCCTTTCTAAGCCAGCTTTTTTGGTTCTGCCCCCTCTAACCCCAAAGTACTGACTAGTATTAATGTCATACTAACCAGATCAAAAAATAGCTAAATTAAACACTCTGAGGCTGGACGTGTTGAAAGACAGTTTGCCTATTGTGTTTTGGTACTCCTAATGCTAGACATGTGTGATTGGTTTCTTTTCAAATTGAAATTCGTATGAATTTTCAGAAATATGTACATTTGCATGCATCCAAATTTCCTAATGACAGAAATAATGAAAAATTCAGATGCATCTGAATGTACGAATTTACGAAAATTCGTACGAAATTCAATTCGGATTTTTGTTTCTGTAGACTGTAAAAAAAAGTCATTTTTTTTCCTTCTCTCTGTCACTTTGCTGCAATGATTATTCGTTTGCAATTAACAAATATTCATCTGAATCCCAAATAGAATTGACTTTAAGACCCGAATCCCGAAAAATTAAATAATGAAAAATACGAAACTAAACCATTTTTTTGCCGGCTTACAAGTCTACCTAAAACCAACAGCTAGAAGAACAGTGCAAGGTTCCACCATACTTTGCTAGCAATTGAGTTCCACATCTGCCTTATTGTTGCCCTAGATCCCAGTTTGTATTGGCTGATGAACTCCTGCTCTGCTTACTTGCAGTCTAGTAAATCACAGCCTAACTAATATTGCTAATGTCACATATGACATTAAGATAAACATGTCACTTCAAGGCTGTTCTTCTAATAGCTGTACATGGCAAGGGCTACACTTTGCACTCCTGAATGTACACTGCTATTCAGGTTGCATTATTATAAATCAATAAGGTATCAGTTATAGATTTTAAAATTATAAATGTGATCTTAATACAATAAATATCTGTTGTATTTTTCTTATGTTGCTGTTTTAAATAACTTATAAACCCATTCTTATAAATTACGTGCCTTAATACGTATATAATTCTGAATTATGATTGCATACAGCATACAACATGGGCACAGTAGATTGTGAAAATTCCGTGAAGACCACAACAATTACATTCTTGGATCAGAAAAATAAAACATTCCATTTATGTTTCTTATATGTACTTCTATGTACAGTATATCAGAGCCTACTTATTTTTATACATATCTTATTTTTATACAGCCCATGGTTTCTTCCAAAGAGCTGGAACAGTTTCATTTTGATATGCAGAAATTGCTTGAACCACTGGAGGCTGAAATTCAACTTGGAGTGAATCTCACTGAAGAAGACTTCAATAAAGATATGGTAAAGTATTTGTGATGGATACTTTTGAACAGCATGACACAGAATGGTGAATAAGATATATGTGGATGAAGTCATAACTCTATAAAGCAGTGGTATATTCAGTTTTTCTTCATAAGCTGGCCCATATTAACTGTGGATATCTTTTAAAGGACAAATAAGCAAGAATTGCAGTTCAACACTTTTTTTTCATAAAATCCCAGAATACTAGCCTGTCTCTGTGGCAATAAATATTGGCTATAAACAAAGCAGATCTGTTCTCTGCATTGCTAGATACAACCATTGTATTAATTCACCCTTGATTTACCATCTAAGGTTAACTCTTAATATACAACACCAAATCATAACCCTTACCCCTGAGAAATAAAGCCTTAACACAAATGTGTAGTACGTGTGTTAGTGTGGTGCATTGATTCTGAATGGCATCTCAATGCACCTTGCTAATGGACATGCATTGCAGTGAAATGCAGTGCACTGACGTGCCTTAAGGTGTGCTGCCAAAAATGCTATACTACCCTTGTACAATTGCTACATTAGGCAGCCCATGTAAATTAATGTTAACTGTGGCATAATGCATGGTAACACACCATAATGGTGGGAATGGGTCTTTAATCGACAACCATTAAATAAACAAAACCCTACCCAGGCTGATTGACTGAAATTCTAGCAATCTATGCCTAGCATAACATTGATATAAATCCTTAAAAGTTATCTAAACTGAATACCCCTGCCTAAATACTCCTGCATAAAGATCACCCTTTTAACTCTTAAACTCAAAAATTATTTTCAGTGCAAAGTAACAGCCTTTCTAATAAGAAGAAATCTCCACCCACTGATACTGACCTTCCACATGCTCACTGGTTGCTGTATTGCTAAATTACAGAGCTAATGAGCCTAAATTCTGTCTAAGGGGGTTCTTCACTAAGCTGCCAAATGCAGCCAAGTGAATAAGCAAGCTGAAGTGAAGGGAGCCGAATCTATTCACTTCAGGTCATCATGATCGACTGAGCCACAGTGAAGAACCCATTCAACTAAGCCAATGCAAGATCTGGATTGCCTGAGTGGAATGTCTGGCAGTTCACTCACTGCCATTCGCTCCTATTCTCATAGGGGCCAAACAGCAGTGAGTGAATAGCCAAATTCCACTGAGTGGCATTCAGCTCAGTTATTCTGTTCACTAATTCAGAGGTAGTGAACAGAATAAAAAGGCATGTTAATAAAAAAATGGCAGCATGGGGCGACCTCATCAAACCATACCAGACCCTTTAGGTCTGGTAGGAATTTTAGGAGGGACCTCCAGTAAAAAATAAAAATAGGAAGTGTGTGGGGTTCCCCCCAAATTTATACCAGGCCCTTCAGGTCTGGTAGGAATATTAAGGGGGATTCCAAGCCCGCAAAAATTGGAAAAAAATTGGGGTCCCCCTACAATTCCTAACCAGACACTTAATCTGAGCACAGGCCTGGCAGGGCAGGAAAAGGGGTAGACAATCATACCATGCCACATGCCCTTGGCATTGGGAGGGTGCTTTTCTGGGCTGGAAATACACTTTAAGGACATTCTGTTTTGACAGTAGATTAGCTGCAGGAATGGTCTAGTCATTAATTCAGGTAAAGTCAGACCCTAGCAATAGAGAGACTTTAAAGTTGCTTTACTGCAACTATCCAATCATATGCAAGATAAATTCCTACTTTTTATATACCCTGATATATGACAGAACTGAATACATTTATTAGACTAAGTAGAGCTTTCTACTTATAAATAAATCACCAGATCCTAAACCAGGGCCTGCAAATTTCTCTTAGTTCCAATGCTGATATGTCAGTATATCATCGAGCTAAACAGGTTGCAATTTGTCTCTGTAGTAACCCTTGACCAGTGATCTGTCCCATTTTATTTTTTATGATTTAATGATAATTAATCCTGCCTATTCTTCTAACCTCCAGAGTGAAGACGATGATAGCCAAGTGAAAGAACTGCTGCAAAGAGGGAACAACCTTCAGCTAAAAATTTCAGATGACAAAAAGAGGGATGAAATCAAGATAAAACAACAGCTATTGAAGGCTAAACATAACACTCTCAAGGTATGTATACAAAAATGAACCCTTGTATATTCTTGTAACAAACTCGAGTGGATAAAATGAAAATAATTTGTAAACATAAACAAGTACATTGTATTTTATTTCATATTGCTTATGGCAGAGAAGGCTAATGTAGTTCATGTCTCTACTGCAGCTAGTACAAGCTCAAGCAATATAACAAGGGACATTCTCACTTTTGGAAATTAGATCATGGACCCCAGAGCTGCATGACATCAGTACCAACTAATAGCCATCAGAATATTACCAACATAAGCAACCCATACTATACTTGCTTTGGTTACTATACATGAGTAAAATAAAAAGAAATTCTGATTGTTTTCTGTTGTTTAATATTTCTGGTTTACATAAAATAATATTACAGGTGTTATTAAAACTAACCCATAGGCAAACAGCTAAACACAGAGATGAAAACATATAAGGGAACTGTGTTACTTACCAAAGGATTTTCTATTTCTGTCCACCCAGTTCTGAGGTTTACACAGCTCTGTCACACAACCCTTTCTGGCAGGACAGGAAACTTGATTTTTTTTTTCTGCTGCAGTGATGTAAAACAGGTCTTGTCCCTCACCCAACCTGTGTTTGGACAGTAAATAGGGATGCAGCATACTGATGAGCTTATCTTTCTTTTGCTCTGCTCTTTCCTCCTATGAGCATATACCTTGCACTACAGCACCAATCTCTGTTGTGCAGGAGGATGATACCAGGTCAAATTTATTCTTCTCGCATGAAAAAATACAGCTGCATAACCTAGAAATACACTGTAGATCTAAAGCTAGGTCATGCTTAATTGAAAAATAAATCGGGAATCTATAGCTTACCTTAGGTCAGTCCCTTTGCAGCATACTAAATTGTGGTTGTGCAATGCTCAAATAGTCTCCTAGTGTCACATATACAATAAATGTTGTATGAGTTGTAAGTGATTTATATATATATATATATATATATATATATCTTACTAGTCCTCCCTGTTTGAATTTTGAACTGAAAGCTTATTTTGGAACTTTCTGTAAATGAGTGAATACATTTGTATACACCCTTTTGATGTTCTATTGTAATGCTGAGCTACATTCTAACAATTGTTTTGCATACATACAGTACATGTATGCCTTTACAATACAAACACCACCAAGTTTGATCATTCCATAGGTTGGAAATATGAAGGATAATGTGGAAAAAAAACAAATATACAAATATTGCTAAAAACATAAATAAGCTCTAATTAATTGGTGGTAATGTAAACAAAGATGATAAAAGTGTTTGCTATATTTTGAAAAAAAATTAATTTAAAATGCTTTCTATATAATGTTATTTGCATGGATTGTTTTTATGGGGGATCAATAAAAGGACATTTTGAATACAGATGCTGCTTACAGCAACAGATTTTTTTTTAGTAATCCTTCCTGGAAGCAAGACATGCCATAACCCAAGATTTAGCATTATCTCTAATTATGACAAAATGTCCTTTAAATCTCTCCTATAGGGCACTTCATTATTGGTTGTGTTTTCAAGAAGTAAGGTCATTGATTTTAATTTTTTGTTACTCAATAAAGCCACTCACCCTCGACAGATAAAAACTCAAAGGAATATTGAATACTTTAAGAAAATTCAGAGAGACTTATATTAAATTGTACTCCCTATTGTTTGTACCTTGACGTGGTCTTAGGAAATATTTTATTTGCTTACCTATAGATCATGTAATTAGTCATATGCTGTTTTAAAATCAGCATAAGCAGACCCTTCATATATGCTCATCTATGAAGTGTACATTATTATGTGAACAGTACAGTTATGAGATCAATACTTAGGCATGTGTCTGTAGCATGATGACAAAAACCCTGAGGATTTACAATGCATATATCACTGCTGTAAGTGATAGCAATGGCCTTTCTCCAGGGTAATATGGCTCTGCATTGTGGCCACTGCAGCATCTACAATCAGAACATAACTTGTTTTAATCAGTCTGTCATTGGCAATCCTAAAAGAGCCTGTATTAAGCTTAGAAAATGCAAGTTTTAAGGAGTATCTGTTATATTTTATATTTCTGTTTTCTTATTTGCAGTTCATATGTAAAACACACATAAATAGACAATACAATTAAGTATTACATTTAGGGTTTTCTCTAACAACTACATGTTGTCTGTATTTATTCTTACATAATGATACCACAAAAATGATCTTTTAGCAGGGTTGTAGGCTTTTTTGATTTTCACTTATTTATTTAATATACTTTTATACAATTTCCTCATCTCTCTGTCTTCAAATGGTGCCCTGGTAAATTAGGCTTCCATGATGCACAGTGTGTCTGTGCTATATTTCTGCCTCTATTTAATGTTTCTATTTATTTATTTATAAAAAATGCCTCATCTGTCTCTCGTTTTAACTGCTGTTGAGTTAAAGACTTTCATGATGTTCAGTGTTTCTGTGCTATGTTTCTGACATAATCCATTTTTATTTCATGATAAAACGTGCCTTGTGTCTCCCTCTTACATTGCTGCCCAATCAAGCTGCTTATATACTCTCCATCCACTGTACTACATGTCTGGCTATTGTCTCTAAAACATGGCTCTGTAATGTGTATTTCTTTATAAAAGCTACCCCATCTCTGGAATGTGTGGTTGGGGTTTTGAAGTGTTTTTGTTTACTCTGTGTTAACATGTTATTACATTTTATAGACATTACAGTGTGCTACTAAACTAAAAGAAGATCACAAGCTCTGCTATTAAACATGTTTTGCCACTGTCTTAGCAATTGTTATGAATTTCAGGAATTCAGCTTTTTGATCTGCTCCGTCTGCTATCTCTTTTTTTTCTGACCTGTTACTGCTAGATAACAAAATGCAACTAAATAATTAGAGTATTACACATAAAAATTATGTAATGGCAGAATATGGTGTTACTCTTATGCTGCCCTCAAGTCACATAAATTGGGGAACCCTCTCCCCTCTGAATGTTTTTTTGGGGGGGGGACATTTGGTACATTTAGTACCCATATACCCAAAGTGCCCATTGTTTGACAAGATTTGTCAGAATTGATTTAATAAACTTGCATCCCTTTGATTTCAATAGGGTTCACATTCAAGTTCATTCATCACTACCCACCAACTTGTTTACAATTCAAAACAAGCCAGAGGGTCAGCTTAAGTTAGTAGGATTATTACTACCAACGATAAATACATTACTTCAGGCTTAAGCACCAGGAGGTTTGGGTGGGTGAACTGACTAAATCTGTGCTTTTAGCTGTTAAATGAACTGTGAACAGTTTCGGCTTGAGAGGAACTTCTGGTTGCCCAGAATCTGAAGCTCATCCCTACTGAGCACCATGAGGGTAGCTGAATTTCTCTTTAGCATAGGATACTGGGAAACAAGCTAATCCAGGGGCCAGCACAGCTGTTTCGCAAAATTGGAGTATTAGGCTGGATTCTTATTAGGGAAGTCTTAATACTGGGCTGTCAGACAACCTTAAAGTGACACTGAACGCAGGAGTTAAATCTTAAAAAGGCATTCAAGTACCCTAATTATTAACAAAAATGTAACTTATTTGTGCATCATTTAGCTGTAACTTCTCAAATCATCTCTAGAATTAATGCTGACGCTGTTCTTTCTTCTGGAGGGTGGCTACTTTTGTTCCCCATGGTCCCAGTGTGTGTTGTAAAGTAGCCACCTCACCAAGCTTGCTGTATATAAAATCATCTCTCTGAGCTTTTTACTAAACATGAGGCTTGGAAAGTAAATTGAAACCTCTCCTAAAGAGAGCAGGTAAACAGAAATCTAGGACTCATGGGAAATCACGGTCTCATTGTGGCTGTGATTTTCTGTGTTTGGAACTATAGTAGTACCTTAAAATCCTGCCATGAGTCCAAGTCCTTTTTCTGACACTTCCTGTTAAGGGATGGCAACCCTCTGTCTCTTTCTTCTAACTGCATTCCAGCATTAACACCCTGTCACATGTGCTTCTGGAGTAAATGAAACTATAGGGGATGGGCCCATTCACATTCTGCAAGCATTGTCCACTGTTGTCACCATCAGAATGTCTGCCTTGACATGTAGCCCTGCTGGAGTACATGCATGTACATGCATGACAGGTAGTGGCTGAAACATACTGGATGAAATCAGCAGCATTGAGGCACTGAGTTACAAAAAATGAAGAAAAAAAGTGAGAACATTACTTTCTAAAACAAAGCATGGCAGTTGTTTATGATACACAGTGCTTTATTAAATTAGTCTACATAATCCCTAACTGTAGCTTAATCCTCTAATATCTTATATACTGTGCCAAAACCTCTGCCATCTCTAAAATCGTGTTATTATATGCTCCTGATCTAGAGAAATTTAATTGTGATGGGGAAGGGGAAGGAAGACAGTCTGGTTGTTTGGGGCCCATAAAATTCTCTTGGTGGTCTAGAGACAAGGGAACGTCTTTTGCTCTCCTGCACTTAAGATACCCAAGTTCATGCTTCTTTGATGTTCTCACAAATCCATTTCTTATCATTTTGGAAATGTGTGCACACAAAACAAACTTGCTTCAATTTTTGTTTTAATTTAAAAGAAATACAATATCTGTGATTTTAAATTTTGCTTCATAGTAATTTACATATTTCAGTTGCAACATAAATTGTCTGTAAGTAAAATTTCCACCCAGGCAGCTAAAAAAATATAGATGAACATAGAGTGATTCATCTAACTCGTTTACATTTTTATAAAGCTTTTATTTATATGCACTACTTTCACTGACTTTATTCTGAGTTATGGCTGCACCAACCACATTAATACATAACAGCGTTTGACTAATGAGTCCCTTTGTACGTAAACAATTGATCTCTGTCACTCCATATACTCTGTTACTTGAAAGGTTAGTGGCTGGGCTTATGTACAGATTAATGTTATCTATAAAAGTGCCTTCAATTCTTTAATATTGTTATGATTATGAATGGAAAATAGAATTTCAATATACAGTAAAATGCAAGACTCTGGTGACTTTCAGATATGACTGAGCATGTACAAAACTAATCTTTCCTATTCATATTAATACTAGGATTTGCGATCACAAAGAAGGAAAAAGGCTTTGGAGATTTCCCATCAGTGGTATCAATACAAAAGACAATCTGATGATTTACTGAAATGTTTGGATGATATTGAGAAGAAAATCGCTAGTCTTCCAGAACCCAAAGATGAGCAGAAGCTGAAGGTATTTATGTGTGTGGTTTTTCATATAAATAATGCAAAGTTAATTTGCAATGTGAAACTAGATGCAAATTAAATATTGTTTTTCTAAATAGTGTTGTGCAAAGTGTTCCAAAATTAGATAGACATCTTGCAGAGATTTCTGTGTGCATTCACTCACTTTCACATTGCATATTTGTTAAACTTTTTTTTAAGAATGTATGTTTGTCAGGTTATTAATTCATGTTTTCAGAAGGGTTTAGACAACCTTTGGCTAACTCCATTACACAAATTTGGCTTAGTAAACTATATGACACTGTAACAACCAGCCATTTTCTTCATATTGAAATATAACAATGTATTAGCTATTATCCTGTGTCCTGGCAATGAAAGAGGTTATCCATCCCACCACCCTAGTTACTTGGATTGCTCACCAGACATCAGGATTTATTTTACAACCCCTTTATAACACCACACAAAAAGGTGCTCTAAAGAGTTAATGATGTTACCATAGAGGAATCTAGTTAAGTAGAGCTTGAGCTATTAAGCACTGTAATAAGCAGGTTTTATTTTGATACACCGTTAAGGATAACTATGAAAGCATGTAAAAAGGATATATATATATATATATATATATATATACAGTAAACTCCCCATTATCCATCATTCAAGCAACCGGCAAGACATGGAGGACATAATGTGTTCCTTGGTGCACAGTAAAAACATTTTGTTAGCAACTAAATTTATTTGGTTGCTAATTAAATTATTTGTTTACATCTTGCTGCTGACAGGTAGCTAGATCCCGAGGTCAGCAGCAGAATGTAAACAATGGGGAGCAATAGCTAGCATGCTATTGGCTATTGTGTTTTGAAATAGCCAATAGCATGCTGGCTATTGAAACCCCACCCACCAAGCAGAGGAGTGGACCTGAGAGAGAACTTTCTCACTCAGGTTTGCTCCTTTGCTCAGTAGGCAGGGTTTCAATAGCCAGCTTGCTAGTGGCTATTTTAAAGTGCAAAACCCAATAGCTGGCTAGCTATTGCACTCACCCACTAAGCAGAGGAGCCAACCTGAGAGGGAAAGTTCTCTCTCAGTTGTGTTCCTCTGCTGAGTGGGTGGGGTTTCAATAGCTGGCTTGCTATTGGCTATTGCAATTTGAAATAGCCATTGCAGTTTGGCTATTGCTCCCAGCTGCTTACATTCACTCGTTGGCTGCAGAAGCATCTGGAAAGTTAATGGGGCCATGGGGTTTTGGGCACCGCATGGGGCATAGTTGCTTGAGAGTTACTACCAATGCTTGATGGACAACTGGGAGTTTACTGTATATATCCCTTTAAATATTCTCTGCTGTCTGTTTTGTTTACCCAAGTTATTCTCTCTGTATCCCTTTACAAGCTTTTAAGTATACATTTTAATAGCTGTAATTTGAAAACATTCTGTTAATTTTTGTATTATTTGGAAAGCTGCAGGTTGTCTAGTTCCCTTCACTCTGTGTTGTCAAATCTACAGACAATATCAAACTAATAAAATATATATTTAAAAAAAATATGATGCAGTTGTATAAACCTCACCATGTCATCATCTGCAAACAAATGTATGAGTAGTTGTATAGCCCTACTGTATATATAGATACCTACTGTTTTTGTTTAGTGTGTGGTGTAAATCTACAGCTTAAGACTATAAAGGGAACTCGGTGCAAAATCTTTTAAAATAAATATGTGAAAGGTAAAGTGTTTTATATTTTTACAAGGTTTCTTATATAAATTAATATTGTATTTTTTTTATTTTCTGCTGTAGAATGGTTGAAATATGTATTTAAAAGAGTCTAACCTTTTTGCAGCTAATGCTTGCTCTGAGGACACTGCCACCATTCAGTGTCAATAAAGATAAGCATCTCAAGTAAGGTACTCACATAAGCATATGCTAGGCTGTATTTATTTGAAAATGATTTACCCCCACTGTGCTGAAAACAGGCTACCATATTGTACAACCCGACAATGAACTTATTGCCCAGAAAAAAAATCTGAATTTGATAAAGACTAATGATATACAGTACTTCTTATATATGGCTTTCTCAGAAGTGCTAATGTGTCCCCTTAGCTCCCTGTACATTATAACACTAGGATTTATGTATAGTATGGATGTATCACTATCTTAATCTGAATGTATGAATTATGTATAGATTTTGAGATCTTCTGTTAACAAAACTTAGACAGGAATGAAGATGCACTTTAGTGCTTACTAAACTATGTATGATCAGCATAAAGGCTTCCAACCCCAAAATCTAGTCAGGATAAAATAGAGTCTATTGAATGTTCTCTCAACTCTTGCCCCAGACCTTGGTTGTCTGCAGGGCAGGGGACCAAAAGTGACTTCCTACATCTGAAATTTGTTGGATTTTCAGCAAGAGGGAGGGGGATTTTTTAACAAATACAGCCTTGATTATACCTATGCGAGTTCTTTAACTAGAGATGCTGGCTAGATATATGTTGGTTATGTTTAAGTGTTGGAAAGGATGAGAACAGCAATAAATCCTTATCTCACTATCCAAAACTTAAATAAGGGAAATGCAGGAAATGGTTTGATGTATTTTATCCCAATTAAATAGATGTGATGGGAACAGCTTTAGCATGCACAGTATTTTAAACATAAAGCAGCAGAAAATAAACAGGAATGAGTTGAAAATTGCCTTCATTGAATTTTTTAATTATTTAAAATAAATTATATATGCACTTTCTTTTTATAGTATATTTAGTATATTCACTTGGGGCACCTTTAATTTATTTCAAAATACCAGGGTCCTAGCCTTCAAGGCTAAATCTTTCCATGGCCCCAGATGTATTTGAGTTGCTAATCCCTCTCAGATATATTGTAGGTAATGAAGTGAACTAATGATTTTTCATTTGTACCATAAAAACTGTTAACACATCTTTAAAGCATCACTTAACATAAAATTATATTATTTTCATAAACTGGTTTATGTAAAGGATTTTCTGATAAACTTTATTGATATGTAAAATCTTCAGAAAACTGTTAAAAAAGCAGATATTAAACATTAAGGTGACATTCGAGGAATCTAACTTTTCCAAGTAACAGTCAACTGCCTGTTTAAGTTGAACTCCAGGCTGGAGACAAAATTACCCTTTGTAGTGGGTCCCCGTCCATACCTTAATGGGTTAATTGCTCATCTTATCTATGGAATGGTGAATAAGGTTAGTTGTTTACCTAATTTCTTACTCTCCCTGGCAGCTAACACTGTCTGTCTCTCTCAGAATTTGGGTGGACCCTTGGTAACCTAATGTACAATGTAGGGCCATTGGTCATGTGCATTTTACATGATAATATCAGAGAGCAGCAACCGCTTGGGCAGCAAAAAGAAGCAGCTTCGGTTGACTGGTTGTTAAGAGTTGAAGAAACCTACGGGAGGAAGGAATAATGTTAATATTTTACCCTGTTTATCATCAGATTGGCATAATGAGCAGGTAACCCTACCTCTAGACGAGTTGCCTGTGCTGTCAAAGTTTTTTTAAGACTTATGGGACTCTAAAAACAACTGTAGTACTAAGGTTTGGCTCCCTTTGCTATAGACCAAGCCTACCAATTGTCATTTTGGTGCCCGACTTGAGAATTGCTACAGAGGTATAGGATACACTGCAAAAAACTACAAATCTCATATTGTTGTTTTTTTGCAGTCTTGGGTACTTTATAAAGTTGTGAATGTTGCCAGTAGCTCTTTTGCATAATGTAATGTTGACATTTTAGATTATTGGTCCTTTAAACCCTAGATTTGCACTGAATACTCTTTTTAGTCTCTTAAGCAGTAAAAACATTGTTTCTAAAAAAATATTAACCTGTGTTATTGTGTATCTTTGTTCCAGATGAACTAATGACTAACAGTACGTGGATGACTTCTTTCTCATATTAGCACACTCCATTCATCAGATCATGCCCATATGTTACCACCTAGTCATTCTAAATTTCATTCTTTGAGTTTTATATTCTTATCACTTTATTTTGCTTTGTTATTGTTTTATTTTGTCATTAAGTAGCATTCTCTGTCACAAACTGACACTTGTTCTGTAGGTATATTTAGTAATTCATATTGTAAAATAAAACATTCACATATCCATTTAAATTAGAATTACATAACACATGGACATATGCTAACATGTATTAAACTAGAAAGTTAATTCAGTCAAAACATTCTGTTATTGATTCATTAGTCTCTTATATTGTGTAACTTAATTACTTGCTAAAATAAAGTTCTACTAAGAAAGAAGTGACAGTATTGCCACAAGTACTCTTCTGCTACTTCTAATGTAAGTTAATTAACTGGCTAGCTAATTTCCCTGGGCCCTGTATTGGTTTTGCTCACTAGGAGATTGATGGAGAATTGGAGAAGAAGAAAGAAGAACTGAACGCAGTAAACAGACAAGCTGAACGTTTGTCTAAGGATGGGGCTGCCAAAGCAGTGGAGCCAACACTGATCCATCTTAACAAACGCTGGCGAGAAATTGAGAGCAAATTTGCTCCTTTCCGAAGACTGCACTATGCACAAATTGTGAGTTATATTTGCAAACCTGATAGTTTGCAACTAACCCAATTCTACTAACACTGAGATGCTAGAGAATGTGATCTAATCTCATAAATGACCCTCACTAGCCAATGCTCTAAAACAGCTTTGACTATTTGCATTATGTCACCCAATTTAAGCATACCATGTTGAGATTCAGTCATCAATGCATGTTACTTTTTGTTGCTCTGTTCATTTTATCATGACATCTCAAAGAATGCAGTATGTGTTACACTTCATTGTAAATATTTAAAAAACAAGTATAAGTTTGATTCCAGATAATCATGTCATGCATTTTTATTTGCTGTATATTTGTAAAAACAGTAGTCCTGGATTATTTAACATAATTAGCTGTCTGTATCATGTTTTCTAAATATTTTCAATCTACATACAAGGTTGTTTCTTATTAAGTGCTATAGTACTGCTTAGTTTTACCATAGTAGTGATATATGGGACATTAAAGCACAATATAGCAACATATATGCTTCTAGCACTTAAGTGCTCCAATCAATTTTTTTTGTCTGTTTATTAGTGGCTGTAAATATCACATTTTATTTTGAAACAAATGTGTTTGATGAGTAGCACATAAACTTTAAATGGTGGGTTTTCTACAAGACTGATTGGAGAGATTGTGTGTATGTATGTGTATGTCTACATCTGGAATCTGATATTAATAAGTGCATAATGTCACTCTCTAGAGCGAAGGATATGTAAATGCTATCTCAGTCACCTTACCCTTAAAGTGACTCTAAACTAAGGAGATAAATCCTAAAAATGCATTCAAGTGCCTTAACAATATAGCTTACTTGTCCATTACTCAGCTGTCGATCCTCAAGTCAGCTCTAAAATGGTGGTGACATTGTCCTTCCTTCTGGAGGATGGCTACTTTTGTTCCCCATGGTCCTTGGGTGTTGTAAAGTAGCCACCCCTTCAAACTACTCTAAAGCTATACTATAAAATATTTACATATTGTGACCAAGCAGTGAAAAGACTTCAATCGAACCCCACATTTACTTATTTAAGTGTAGGCATTGTGAAATTAACCTTCAAATTTATAACAGATGCACTAAACTCTTAGAGGGGTTATTCACAAAGCTGCCATAGGCAGCCGAGTGAATAACCGAACCAAAGTTAAGTGAGCCGAACGCTGTTTGGCTATTCACTTCAGGCTTGTAGAGCTGATTTCAGCCGTATATCGGCAAAGCCACTGTCGTAAACCCGGCAGAGCCACTGTGATATCACTGCGGCTCCGACGGGAGCCAGCTGTGAGATGACGGCTGGCTCCGCCCATCTGTCAGAAGCAGGCTGTCGGCCGGCCAGCTTCAAATTTCAACTGGGCTCAGTCGAGCCGAAGCTTATGCCTTCGGCTCGACTGAGCCCCTCGGCCAACATAGGGAGCTGTACGGGCTATAGTGAATAGCCCGTACAGCAGCCCTTTGGTACTACTAAACCTAAGGGGTGACCAAGTGCCTAAATGACTGGCCAAGTACACTGTACGTGACCAGTTATTTGTGGCTCTGTAATGCTGGTAACCGCTGATTCCCAGCGGTTACCATTCATTAATGAATGCCTCAGTATTGAGGCATTCATTCATGAAATAGTTAAGCTTTTGTAAAAGCTTCTTTCTTCATTAATGAAAGAATGAAACCGTTACATACAAATACCGGATCGCTAAATAGCGATCTGGTATTTGACAGCTAAAGATAGCAGAGAGGTAGCAGTGTGAGTCACCTCTCTGCTATTTATTTTGACATTTTTGACAGCTCCATAGACTGGCCCAATGTCTATGAAGCTGTGTGATACATTTTAGGCACAATGTTACAATGTGTCTCTGTGCCTGAAATGTATCACTTCTGATCGTCTGGGCATGATCAGAAACCTTTAGTGAGATCTGATTCACATGCTGTCAGGATCAGTCTTTAAGGTTATCATTAGCTGTTCCTAAGTTTGGAGCAGCCTAATAATAACCAAAAATTACAAAAGTTAATGTTATAAACTGACAAAAAAAGTGTAAAATATTAATAAAGTGTAAACAAAAATTAAATATAAATATATTTTTTATACTATAATGATTATAAAACATTTCTAAAAAATAATAATCAAAACTTGTGAAAAAAGTGTTTTTCCTCATTTTTTTAAATATTTTATTTGCACTAAGGCGTTAGATACACATGTTTGAAATAATTATATAGCCCTATCTGTCCTCTAAAAAAAAAATTTATAATATGTGTGGGTACATTTAGTAAGAAAGTATATTACTGACGTGGAAGAATCACACAGCAAAAATTTAAAAAGTGTGTCAGTCATTTACTAACAGAAAACTAAAACAAGCTCAGTCATGAAGGGGTTAATATTCATAGGCCACAGATGCACACTAAGGTAGTTCTCTGTATGTGTGCACCTAGTGGGGTACCTACCTAATGACTTAATCTAAATCAATTGATTACTCCAATAGTAATTGGCAAACCCTGTTGTGGATCAAACTTTGGGTGTATACTAATTTAGAAAGTTTTCCCACTACTGTTTAATGTTTTGTTCATTATATTTAGTTTTAAAAAAACCATTAATTATATATAGGAACATTAAGCCTAATGAGCAACGAAGTTGCAGTAAAAGAATATTTTAAAAAGTCATGTTGAAAAGTACTTTATAGATTTATATTTCTTATTTATGACATTATAATGTCTGTTAAATGTGTAAGTGCTGTAGTGGTGGGGTGATGGTGATGGGGGTGATGGTGATTTAGAGGTGGAGGATTCTTTTCATTTGTAGCATTCGCAATGGTTAAACAACCCCCAAAGTTGTGACCTCTGACTGTTAGCTATAACCACTTCTATACTACAGGAGGATGAACCTATGGAACCATTAAGGCAAATGTCTATTTTTTCTCACCTAACAGTACTAGTTTTGAAGTTGTGTACCTGATACTAAATTTACCATGGTGAAATATGTTACCTGCAGTGCCACATGTATCCAGGTGCACATTACCTTCTTAGATTTCATAGGTAAACTTCAACTTACCACTAGCCTGCTGCAAGGTCACAGAGCAAAGTCACCAATTTCTTACTAAAGTAATAGAAAGGGCTGATATTGTTCAGTCTAGAAAATACTGTGAAATGTCGCTGAACCATACCAGATGCAATAAACCCCATAGCAAGCATCAAATTTAATACAGATCTTGAGACAGAAAATTTTGAAGCACATCTAATACAAAAAAACTGTAGTGTTTTTAAATGCAAGCCCTATTTTTTCAGGATGTTTTTTTGGTTTAATTTTTCATATATTCAGTGCCCACAAGACTGTTTTTGCTTTCTTTCTGTCTTTTTGATGGTCCTAGTGTCATTTTAGAGAATGATACAAGCAAACCACTTTGGTTTTGTTGTAAATATTTTAATTCTATAGAATATAGTATGTCATGCACTAGGCAGGTATTTGCCTTTGTATTCCACTTGTAAGACATTGCAGTGATATTTGATATCAAGGTTTACATAAATGTAAATACCAATAGTAATTATTTGCAAATTGTAGTTTCTCAAAATCAGTAAATATTCAGAATATAGAAAAAGCATCAAGCTAATTAATGTTATCACAAAGGCATTAAACACACACAAAAAAAGTTTTTATACTTTGCTACAATGTTTCATGGCCACAGTGTTCCTTTGGCTTATGTCCACAAATGTAGATTAGGGCTTTCTAACAGCTGCACTAGGCTGCACTCCAAGTCTGTGTATAGTAAACACTACTGTCCAGGTCACTGGCAGAACCTGCTTTTGTTTGGCTTTGAATCTATCTGCATTGTGGCAATCAATCAAAGCATAGGCTTCTAAAATTGACATTGATCGTACTAGTAAAATTCATTTTTCTTGGGACCACTTGTGGTTGTTGTTTGGCACATTTCACAGCTTGGAACTGTTTTATCTTATATAGACATTTACTTTAGATATGGGACAGATTCTGAAATCTACTTTATTTAACAATAAAATTGATTCACCTTACCCTTCACTGAAAAACAAAACAGTCTCTATGCCAATAAAACAAATAGCATAACTAGAACAGGAAGATAAAAAATATGCTGCTAAAAATCTAACACTGTATTTTAGAAGAATTACTGACCTCCCTATTACATAAGTATATGACTTATGTAATGTTTATTTTACAGCCCAAAGGTGTAGCAGTGTTCTATTTCCTAATACAAATTGCTGGTCTAAAATGGTATTACATGGCAGTAGGCAAAAAGTCCTGTCTGTTGAATTAAGAAAGTCAGAAAAGTATCTGTCAGCCTTTCAGGAATAATGGACATCAGTATAAGAGTTTTCTACAGCCAGTGGTATGTGTGGGTTGGCAGGTTAAATAATGTTAGGGATAATTTTAAAGAAAACCTGTTTCACGAGACAACATTATAAGAGCACCACAGATGCTGTCTTAATGATCTCTTACTCGTAAAATGATAGTTCCCTGACTATCAGGTAGAGTCTTGTGCTTCAATTCTATGAGTTACTGACCCAGAAAGGGTGCTACTACTTAACATATGTAAAGGTTCATTATGAATGTTAGGTTAAGGTTGGGGCTTAGTATAAACTCAACCGATAGTGTAAGTTAAATTCTAAGGATTCATTTTCAGGATCGTATTAAAACTGAACTCCAGGCAGTTAAAAAAAAACAATTTGCTGCAGTTGTCTATTCCATAGAATGTTTCATTACATAATTTACATTCAGCTATTGGAAGTACCCAAATCTTTCTTTATATCGGTCTGTTGTAACCCCCCTGTAGAGTAGAGCTAAAAGTTATACTGTAAAAAACTAAATTTGTTATATCTGTGACACTATAGCAAAATTACCCGATTCTTATATATTACATTATTATATATATTAAGTATAGTTTGGTTTAAATACCAAGCTTGGAAAAAAGCAGTGGTTATAAATAAGTTTTCAGAGAAGTACACTGTTAGCATGACATTAAGCAAAGGACGAACTTTAGATCAATTCCT